TAAAAGAGGAGGAAACTCAAATAATTTTTTAAATTACAAAACTTTTTTTAAAAAAGATCCTCTCATATTTTGTGTAAAATCCTTATAAATAATTTTCATAACATGTAGCTAAAAAACAAGCTTTGTGACCTAGCATTTGTATCTTAATTTGAACATATACATTCTGGTATAGTTTGAAAAAAGTTTTCATTTTATGTTTATACCCCATACAATCTTAATATATATTTTGGCAGTAGTCAAATGCTAAATTTTGAAAGAAAATATTGTATTTTGTTATATGCTTCTATTAACATTTCTATTTACTCTTCAAATTGAATTTTTAATAGAGATTTCAAAATCAATGTTTTATGTAGGTCCAAAATATTTTTTACATTTGCATTTTCAACTACAGATACATCTTTATAGGAAATATTGATATCAATGTTAAAATCTTCTTCAAGGTCTTGCACATTGTCTGGGACAGGAACTTGTTGGGTATCTTGTTCTTGCTCTTCTTGTGGCCCAGTTTCAGTTGCCTCCTTCAGTTTTTGTTGACAAAAATTAATGAGTTCCTCAGGAACAAACTTCCTTTTACTTTTTTTATCTGAAGTAAAAAAAAGAGTATCCTTCAAATCCTTTAAAACTGATTCTTAGTTAGGCAGGAATACTGATGCCATGTTCATTTTATTCAAATATAATGATTGGGATTAAAAAAATTAATTTCACCACATTAGCTTCAAATTGCAGAATAAATATAATGTTTGTACATCGCAGGAAAATATATAGACAATAATAGTGTAATGACTTGACGATATAAGAATGAGGCTTAGAAACAGGGAAATGCGTGGGCCAAATTCATTTCAAAATATCAACAATAAGCATTAAACATAATGATTTATAGGTTTTGAACAAAAAATATTAACATGAGAAATATGTTTTTCCAACAACCGTAAAAGAAATAAGTTTGAGTTGTTCCACGCTTCATTGTTTACATTAGAAACAAAGACATTTTGAAGAGGTCATCATGAATAATTAATTGTTCTGGCAACTTCTATTTAAATATCATGATGAAAAGTGATATCGGGTCAGTGACTGTATATGACATAGAAATACATTGTAACACATTTTGACTGCTCAAATAGAACGAGTGCAGTATAAAGATGTATTTCAAGTTGTAACAGCTAGCCTCATGTTTTTTACAGATTATCGAAAAGTATTAGATTCTGATAAAAATGTTAAAATAAATAAGGAACGTGTCCATGGACACAGATGATGCTCCCACTTGCATATAATTTTAAAAAGGGACATATCTCAAGAACTGTAAAAGTGACGCTACCCAAATTTGTACTTGATCTGAGTTTTGTTTATAATTAAGTCTTGTATTATTTAGTTGAGGCAAACTAAAGTTAGAGAACGGAACCTGAAAATTCAACAATTTTTCCATTTCAAAAGAGCATATCTCTAGAACAGTCAAAGTGACTCCACCAAAACTTGAACTAGATCTGTTTTTTGTGAAAATATGCATTTTGCATGACTTTCATAACATTTGGATGAGGCAAACTGAAGTTTGAGAGCAGAAACAATTCTTTCAGCAATTTTCAGATTTGTAAAGGGACATAACTCTAGTACGGTAAAAGTGAAGCCTCCAAAATTTAAAATTGATCTGTGTTCTGTGGTTATAAGAATTATGCATCAGTTTCGTAAAATTTGGTTGAGGCCAACTAAAGTTAGAGAACAAAAACAAAGAATTCAGCTATTTTTCCATTTGTAAAGGGACACTACCAAAATTAAAACTTGATCTGTGTTTATGGTATTAATCATTGTGGATAACTTATATAATATTTGGTTTAGGCAGACTTAAGTTAGTGAACAGAAACCAATTTTTGGAGGGACAGATGTACAGACGGACAAGTGTTAAACTTAATGCCCCCACCGCTACAGGTATAGAACCACTAATTCAGGCCCGGTAGAAAGAACATACAAGAAAGTAGTACATATTTTAAACAAAATAGTTCCTAGGCATAGCTGTATCTTTGTCATTAGTGGGAATATTTGGCTAGTTTTAGTATCAAATGAAAGCTTGGGGACTTGGGATCACTGTAGAACCCTTGTTGAAAGTTTTATTTGAATAATAAAGAAGTATATGCAATTTTCATAGGAGGGCTCATTTGGCCTGTTGTTCAGATCAGAAGTTCCTGTTTTAGTACTATCAAACTTCCGGGAACCAGTATGCTCTAATATGCAATTAAAGGTACCCGGTATGTTGATTTTTTCAGCACAAGTCAGCATAAGGTACAGTTTTGACATGAAATAACTGCCTCTTTATTTGAACTTAAGACAAAGTAGCCATTTATACTTGAAATTGCAGAATTTATCATAGAAAGCAATGGGGCTATGAATTAGTGGTTTTATACCTATTACTGACAGGCATGTGAAATTCTATTTTTAGAAATCATACCCTTTACAGTGAAAATTGGTCACATTTGTTGTCAGAAATCATGTTACATCATTTTTTTTATGTAACAGTTATGTTAGTGTCAAATTACAGCCCTCAAATTGCTACAATAGGGTATTTTAGCATTTTTTTGTCAATTAGCATGCAAACAGTTAAGATTTTACCTGAAATTTAAATTTTTGGATTATCTAACACTGAAACCAATGAAACTTGTATATTATGACTAGTTTATAGTATATATAGAAAATTGGTGTATACTTATATAGGAATTCCAAAATCTCACTTGAAATGCATTTTATAACCATTTTAGCAAGTTGTCTAGCTTGGAGATACATAAATTGCTCTTGTTGATCCATGTTTATACATAAAAGTATGGTTTTTTTACCAAATCACTCTTCTTTTCCAACATGTAGAAAAAAGGGGGGACAAAATTATCAAATATATTTTATGTTTGGACCACTGTATTTATATTCAAGGAAGAATCTCTGATAAAAATAAGACATATAGGTAAGAACACTGTTATTTGAGTAGATATTAACAAATCAGAACTGGTAAAAATTGAAAAAGTGTCATATCTGTCACTATTTGTATCCATATGTAGTTTTCTTTGTTTAATGCATATGTTACTACCAGTCCAATTTGAGCTTGAATTCAGTGATATAGGGTTTTGACAAAAGCTTTATGTGTTTTTCTATGCTAGAAATAGATCATAGAAGGAAATTAAGTCAAGCAGAAGTCAATATAACAAGTTTGGTGCAGTTATAGGTATAGAACCACTAATTCAGGCCCGGTCGGAGAGAACATACAAGAAAGAAGTACATATTTTAAAAAAATAGTTCCTACGCATAGCTGTATCTTTGTCAATAGTGGGAATATTTGGACAGTTTTAGTATCAAATGAAAGCTTGAGGACTTGGGATCACTGTAGAACCCTTGTTGAAAGTTTTATTTGAATTATAAAGAAGTATATGCAATTTTCATAGGAGGGCTCATTTGGCCTGTTGTTCAGATCAGAAGTTCCTGTTTTAGTACTATCAAACTTCCGGGAACCAGTACACTCTAATATGCTATTAAAGGTATGTTGATTTTTTCAGCACAAGTCAGCATAAGGTACAGTTTTGACATGAAATAACTGCCACTTTATTTGAACTTAAGACAAAGTAGCCATTTATGCTTGAAATTGCAGAATTTAACATAGAAAGCAATGGGGCTATGAATTAGTGGTTTTATACCGCAGGGGCATAAATATAAACAGCTTTTAATTTGACAATTTGTAAATCTAAGAATTAGACATTGCTTGTTTGAGGTATTAGAATTGAAAACTACTGATGATCTCATTTGATTTTAAACATGAAGTACATGCTTTATGGAAAATTTCTTGGTCCTTGCGTAATTTCAAATAAAATTTCATAAAGCAAATTTCATTATTTATAAACAAAATTGTTCCAGGGTTGTTATCATGTTCTTGTTAAAGTTTTCATTTATTTTAGCTTACACAGTGTTGGAGTGTGAACACTGATTGATTGACTAGTGATTGCTTTATGCTGCCATGAATACTGATACTTACGAGAAAACTGTATTGTAATTTGTATTTTTAGCTTAAAGGGGCACTAGCTACGAGATATAAAAAAAATATAAAATATGATTTTTTTTGTTCAATCATTAATGAAAGTGGAATAGTGAAATAATAATTGGCTTTTAGCAGCCAGTATTGTCTAATTTTGTCAAAATAAGCAAATAAATATTGATGATGAATTATTCACTTGCAAGTGAATAGTTCAACCTCATTGAATCCATATTCATGTGAACTTCAATTTAACCCCTTAGATAGAGTTGGATAACGCATGAATTGTGTGCATGTTTGATTATTTAAAGGAAAAGAATGTCAACATATTTTTAATCTATAAATGAACTTAAATAGACCTAGAAGAATCCAATTGCACGAGTTGCGCTATCTATTTATATCTTTATTTATGTTTATATCCCTTATATGGGCATCGATGGTTTTCGGGAGGTCAACTCGACAGTTAATTAGATGGCATTTAGACTAAAATACACACAAAACGAAGCTACATATTATCAACCCTATGCCCTGTAAATTGTTTATTTTAGATTTTTTATAATTTGGATAAATGTTTTACATTGTTATATAACAAATATGAGAATTTGAGTCAAATCGGTGAACATGAATTTGACAGCTAGTGCCCCCTTAATTGGCATTTGTTAAATAGATATAGGAAGATATGGTATGAGTGCCAATGAGACAACTCTCCATCCAAGTTACAATTTATAAAAGTAAACCATTATAGGTCAAGGTACGGCCTTCAACACGGAGCATTGGCTCACACTGAACAGCAAGCTATAAAGGGCCCCAAAAAATTACTAGTGTAAAACCATTCAAACGGAAAAACCAACGGTCTTATCTATATAAAAACCAGAAACGAGAAACACGTATGAACTACATAAACAGGCGCCAACTACTGTAATCAGATTCCTGACTTAGGACAGGTGCAAACATTTGCAGGTTTTTTTGTCCCAAATTGAGTCCACCTTACAATACAAATTGATTACTCAAAACTTTGGATGTGTTCAATTATTATCAAATCTATGATTTTATTCTTACCGACAAATCTTTCCAGCTCTTCCCCTGCATCAGGATATTTCTTTATAATCTCTTCCCAACTAGCAATGGCTAAATTTTGTTGAAACACTTTTTTGATGCTTTCCCTGGCCCTAGCCTTCTCAACATGCATAGCTGTAATTTTCAAACCATCCTCCAATGCTTTGGAGAGGAACTCCAATTTGTTTGATTCACTGCATCCTTGCAACGCCCTGAATAGCTGAAATTGTTAATTATATAAATGATTTTGAAATGTCAATTATCACTCAAAATACATTGCAATATATACATTTCAATGTCAGATTAAAGATTATTGATGGTTTTTCAAGTAATATGAAGTTCCTCGCTACAGTGTCATACCAGAATGGCAGATTGAAGTCTTTTATAACTATAATATATTATTGATTTAAGTCATTGTTGAAGGCTGTTTGGTTTCTTATAGTTACTTGCATACACATGTGTTGGCCTGGTGGATAGTTGTTATATTGGCATTTATACCAAATCTTCAGTTTTGTAAGGTCAAGTCAATAGATTTTAAAAAACATATATAAAAAATTTAAAGTCATGAATGAGAGAGGGGGGCTTTATATTTCCCATGCATGATTAAATCAATAATTTTAATGCACTCATTATATAAATTACACATATAACCAATAGGATGAAAAAGCAGATTGTTACCCAGAGAAAACATTATCAACTGACCATAATTTTATGTTGCAAGTCCTACAGATGATCGAAGGTTTAACTACAAATTACACATAATCTTAACATTTTTAATACAGAGATATGTCTTGCTTTCTTGTAATTTTGATTATGCAAATGTTGAAATTGAAATAACAAATATTTTAAGTCAATAATCCATGACTGAAGGTACATGGCTAAAGAATCTCCATGGAAATGAGATGTGCCAATGCTTATACAACGGCATACCGAACACCATTGACTTATTATAAGTTGTTCCCTTTAAACACACTTAAACACAAGCATTAACTTGTAGACTATGTAAAAGTTTTAAAGTCAATGAACTATGAAGAGGGGGTGGGGCTGTATAATCTCCATGGAAATGATACTTTGCAAATGCCAATAAATTTGCATACCAAATATCATTGACTTGACATTAGCAGTTCATCTTAAACTGATCGAATCACAAAGTAATACATGTAACTGTTAACTAAGCAAAAGTTTCAAAGTCAATAGACCATAACTTAAGGAGCGGGCCAAATATTCTCCATTGAAATGAGATGTGCTATTGCTTATACAACTGAATACCAATTAACATTAGCCTACCATTAATGATTCCTCATGAACTGACCTAATCACAAACTAATACATGAAAACTAAGCAAAAGTTTCAAAGTCAATAGACCATGATTGAGAGGGCAGGGCCAAATAATCTCCATGGAAATGAGATGAGCCAATGCTATTACAACTGCAAACCAAATATCATTGACCTACCCAGGGGTCGAATTTAAGCTTTTTTGTGTACTAGCCAGCCGGACCACTGGACTGAAAAATCTACTGGTCCTGCAAACATGACATTTATTTGACAAACACTAATATAAATGATAGATGTTTACTTTTATCTCAGTAAACCCCTATTTGCATCAGCAGAATGAGCAGGAAGGGAAAGAATGAAATCCATAAGTCTTAGAATGTTCAAAAAGTCAGTGGCACCACCTTGGTTAAAATCAATCCATTTATTCCCATAGATCTTTTGTGCTGTTCTGATTGTTCATGAGCAAGTACAGATCGAATCTAACTTAACATTTGAAGATCCTGTTACAAAAATAAATTTCTTATCTAAGTCTATCACTGCAAATTTTTCACATGTTATACAATTCATTACATTGCGATCGACTATAATCTAAGCATTTGCGACCTTTCTGCCAGGATTATTGATATTTAAGTTTCCTTTTGTCAATTTCATAAACTATATTCCGATCTTCCTTTTGAATGTCACTTATTTTAATTTTTTTAGTCCGGCTCTTTAACACCTTCCCAAAATTTCCACACTTTGTGTTGTTGTGAAGGACCCTTGACCAATTGTAATACTTTGTACCCTCTAGTACCGTGTAATTGATTTCGAAGGTAACAAATTTTGTACACAAACTGAGATTGTGACGCAATCAGTAATTTTCATAAATAAATTTCTACTGGTCCGCCGGACCACCAGCCCGGGGGGTTACTTCCTATATTTTTAGTGGTACGAGTGTGCCGCAAAACAGGGTCACTTTTTCATGCCCTGCTGGTTAGAACAGGGTCCCTTTTTCATGTCCTGCTATTTAGTACAGGGTCGCTTTTTCATGCCCTGCTGGTGAGAACAGGGTCTTTTTTTAAACAAAGTATTTGTCTAGAAGAGGATCGCTTATTTAACTGTTTAAGTAGTCCAAATAATTATGACGTCTTGCAAGGCTATTTTATTTTTTTTCTGTGACGCCTTCCTAAACGTAGGAAGGCGTCACAGAAAAAAAAATAAAATAGCCTTGCAAGACGTCATAATTATTTGGACTACTGTTTAAGATACCGTCTAGAACCCGGTGTCTAGAACTGCATCTATTTTATACGATCTAGAACAGGATCATTCCCGGTGCATATTTCTGAGCGTGTCTAGAACAGGGTATGTTTTCAATATTTCTGTTTAGAACAGGGTACAGGGTATGTTTTTCAATGTTTTCTGATTAGAACAGGGTATGATTTGGCAAATGCTGTCGGCACAGTTATACCCGAAAGGATAGTCAGTAACCCCCCCCCGCTGGGCCACCAGCTGACAAAATCTACTGGTCCAACACAATCTCTACTGGTCTTGGACCACCAGACCAGTGCTAATTTCAACCCCTTGACCTTCCACTTGTGGTTCACCATAAACTAGAAGCCAAGGTCGGATGGTACACGACAGACAGACATGTACACATTACAATCAGTCCATACACCAAATATAGTTGACCTATTGATTATAGTACATGTACTTGAAAAAATGAACAAAAACACAAAACCTTAAAATTGAAAACAACACGTTTAATAATTTCATGCGTCCAAAGTGCTTTTCTGGATTCACCTTCATCAGGAACACTCAAAGCCAAACATTTGAAATCTGAGGGATGTATAAGTACCGAAAAACAGTTGAAGAGGTATATGACAAAAATACCTAAAACAAATAGCAAAATTTATCTAAGGTCAACTTTGCCTGAGGGAGCTGAAACCTTAGTTTCTTTATAATTTCAAAATTTATAAACGGACAATTTTAGAAAGGTTTGTTATAAATCATGTCAGTACCGAAGTACTGACTACTGAGCTGATAATACCCTCGGGGACTGATAGTCCACCAGCAGTGGTATAGAAACAGTGATGTATAAAACACGTTTAATAATTTCATGCGTCCGAAGCACTTTTCTGGATTCACCTTCATCAGGAACTTCATGACCAATGCAAATGAGTTTTAGGTCAGATAACATGTACCCATTACAATCTTTCCATACACCATATGTAGTTGGCCTACTGCTTATTGTATCTGAGAAATTTACTTAACATGTTACTTTATCCTTGATCACTGACCCATGAAATGAGATCGAAGTCAAGTGAACTGTGTCTCACAGACATACAGACATTGCAAGGAACCCATATACCAAACATATTTATCCTATTACTCATAATAAGTGAAAAAATTCACATGGAAAAAAACCTGTAATTTTTTTAAAGCTTTTGCTGAACCATGAAAAGAAAGTCAAGAAAAATGGACAAATAAATGACGGAAACAAAAGGTATCTGCATACAAGGTATGAAGCATCTGGGTCTTCTTCCTCCTGAACTGTAAAGCTTTATACAAATTATTAGGGACTTTCCTTTTTGAATTTTCCTGAGAGTTTAGTATTTTTGTGATTTTACTTTTTACATTGCCAGGATAGTAGTCCCTATCTCTCATACTTGGTGAAACAATAAAATCAAATCAAATACTTTAATACTGAACTAATAAAGATATAGATACCATGACTAAAGTTGATAAATTATTGATTACAGTACTACTTACCCTCTGTGAAATATTTTTATCGCAACCACTTTTCTGTTCATGAATTTTCACCAACTTTTGATATTTTAAGTATACTGTTTCAGTATATGTGGCAACCGATACAATGGTGCTGCAGCTGTCCTCGCTCAATTCCTGGAAAATAGAGATAACATGAAAACAAATTTATTGTAAAATACCTTAAACTGAAACTTGAACAAGTTAATTCATCACATTTTCATGATAACTTAACTTCTAAATCTTGGTCAAAACACTAACTTTGTATGTATTTCATAAGTTCAAATCATGACTTACACAACAAATAATTAAGTACTTAACAGACAAAAAGCAGGGGAGGGTTGGCACCTTCAAACTTGTTAAACCGGGCCACCAAATTGCTGTCCCAAGTCAGGAACCTATGGTTCAGTGGTTGTAATCTGTTTATGTCATGTGGATATTGTCTCACTGACAATCAAAAACCACATCTCCTTATTTTCATATTAGAAAAATTTTGATTAAATATTTACTTAAAATTCAGGTTAGGGGAGGGTTGGCATCTTAAAATGTGTTTAACTCTGCCACATTCTGTATGAGCCTATCTAAAGTCAGGAGCATGAAATTCAGTTGTTGTCAGTTGTTGCTGTGTAACATATTTGTTTTTCATTCATTATTTTATACATAAATTAGGCCATTACTTTGCTCCTTTGAATTGTTTTACATTTGACAATATGGTGCCTTTTAAAGCTGACTATGTGGTATGGGATTTGCTCATTGTTGTAGGCCTATAGTTTTTAATTTCCTTGTCAATTTGGTCTCCTGTGGAGAGTTGTCTCATTGGCAATCATACCCCCATCTTCTTTTTATATTCAAATGATACTTGAAGGGATACATATGAGACAACCTTAAGTAAAACATTAGAAAACAGTCCAAATTTATATAACCAACTGCATTCATTCATTTCCTGTATTTCAGTCACTAGCACTAGTAGGATATTTTGAAAATCAAATCAAGATGCAGGGGTGTTAGTTAAGCTTTGTGGACAGTTCTAGTTACTGCAACTGTGCCATTGACATAGTCGTAATGCAATTACATTATAAAAGTATAAACTTTGTGACATTTTTAATTTTAATTTGTTTTTGAAGAAACTATCACTTTGTGAAAGAAGGCTGGAATTGGGAAAATTGACTGCTTCACTTTAAATTGTAATTTTTTAACTTCTAAGAATTTTTTATTTGGAAATGTTAAATTGTAGAGTTGCAATATGCAGAGAAAATCCCTACGATCTCTCAAAACTAAATTGATTTTTGTGCTATTTTCACATTTCTTGATTGGTGTGAGAGAAATATTTCTATTTACTAGTGAGATATCTGTTCTTGGCAAATGATTGGTTGAATTTAATTATGACGTTGAATTTTCTTAGTTACTTCTGAATTTCCTGTTATGAAGTCATAAAAAAGGTGACCTTGCTTGATGAAGTCATATATAAAGAACACAACTTTCTGCAAATCTTTTAACAGGAAGGATAAACATAATTAAAGAAACACATTCCATCACTAGAACTTGTATATTACAATATTTCCCCACTCTCAACCGTTACATTTTAATTATTTAAAAAGCTTGGCAAGCCTCACGTAGCCCAGTAGTCAGCACTTCCATGTTGACATGAATATCAATTGTGTGTTCATTTTATAAATTTCCTGTTAACAAAAGTATGAATTTTTCAAAATACTAAGGATGTTCTTTTTCCAGGCATAGATTACCTTAGCCGTATTTGGCACAAATTTTTCGAATTTCATTAATGCTCTTCAACTTTGTACTTGTTTGGCTTAATTACTATTTTGATTTGAGCGTCACTGATGAGTCTTATGTAGACGAAACGCGCGTCTGGCGTATATAATCCTAGTACCTTTGATAACTATTCACAGTTAAAACATTAAAATCTAACTGTTGAAAGTGGAGAAATATCGTAACACGCTTGTTGCAGTGTTGTAATCTATATTTATTTAACAGTATAAATGATAAGCAAATCAATAAATTACATGAACTATATTTAGGAACAATGTAAAGAGTTATCATATATAATACCTTTGTCTCTTCTGTTTCTTGTATGATTTTTTTAATTTTTTTTACTAAATCACCCCCAGTTATTCCCTCTTTGTAGAATTTTCTTGTTTGCTCAACTTTTTGCTGTAAAATAAGGAATAAATGTTCATTTATTGTCAAAAAGTACAGTTTATTATCATATATACTTGTATAAAACATTAATTAAATTTTACAGTTCAATAACATTTAAAAACACTTTTTTGCTGACATAATTGGTGTTAACAGTTTATCTCTATCTATAACAAATTTCGATATGATAACCAAAAACAGCAAAATTTCCTGAAAATCATCAATTCAGGGGCAGCAACCAAACTACTAGTTGCCTGATTTGTCTGAATATTTCAGGTCAGATAGATCTTATTCTGATGAACATTTTAATCTCATGTCATATTTGCTGTAATGCTTTACTTTAAGAGAAATAAGTCAAAATCTGCATTTTAATCCTATGTCCTTATTTTAGCCATGTTGGCCATGTTGGTTAGCAGGTTGCGTCATCCAACTTATTTTTTAAACAAGATACCCTAATGATGACTGTGGCCAATTTTGGTTAAATTTGACTTAATAATTTCATGAGAAGATTTTTGTAAAAGATAATAAAAATTCTAAAAAAAATTGTTAAAAATGACTGTAAAGGCCAATAACTCCTTGATGAGTCAATTGACCCTTTTGGTCATGTTGACTTATTTGTGGATCTTACTTAGCTGTACATTATTGCTGTTTACAGTTTATCTCTATCTATAATTATAATATTGAAGATCATAACCAAAAACTGCAAAATTTCTTAAAACTACCAATTCATGGGCAGCAACCCAACAATGGGTTGTTTGATTTGTCTGAAAATTTCAGTACAGATTTGCTATAAATGCTTTTGTTTCAGAGATATTAGCCAAAACTACATTTTATCTCTATAATTATATTCCAGATGCCATCATAACCAAAAACTGCAAAATTTCCTTAAAATTATCAATTCAGGGGCAGCAACCTGATGACATTTTTGGTTGGATTTGTCTCAGTAGTTTCAGAAATATTTCATGCATAAAATATCAAGAAATAAATTGGGAAAGTGTATGAAAAAAATTACAAAATTAATATAAAATTGTTTAAAAAGACTATAAAGGGCAATAACTCCTTAAGGGATCAATTAGGCATGGCAGCCATCTTGGTTGGTGGTCCAGGTCATCAGACACATTTGTTTAAACTAATGATGATTGTGGCCAATTTTTGTTAAATTAAACAACGACCAACAAAGACGATGGATGCAAGGCGATGAGAAAAAGCTCACTTGGCCTTTTCGACCAAGTGAGCTAAAAACTCCCTTAGTGCTTCAACCAAAATGAATTGTAGATGTTTTCATGGTCTCAGGCAATGATGACCTTCAAATAGAGTAGCTCTCATGCATTCAAGTACTTATGTATTCCTGGGTTTCATTTTTTGGATATGAAAATTACTGATGGATGTAATTCCAGGAAATGCTTTAGATACATCCATTTTATAAATGTTAATTTGATTTAAGAAAGTAGACGAGACATATGTTTCTATGAAGCATGTACATGATCATGTTGGCCAGAAATTAACATGTGAGAGTGCTCACAATGCAAATTATTTATTTGACTAATATTAACCAGGGGAGTAAGCTCTTAGTAAATGTGAGTACTCTGAGATCTGTACTTTGTATTATTTTTTTGTAAGGGATATTAACCCTGCCACGTCCTGTCAGTGTTTTTGTTTGATGTTTTTCTTTGTATGGATCTGATGAGTTAAGCCCTTGTCAACTGTCAGATTTTTATAGTTTGTTTCATTTGGTGTGCTGTAACACTACTATGCCAGGTTAACATGTTTAACCTCGCCACATCTTAATGTGCCTGTTACAAGTCAGGAGCCTGTAGATCATTGGATATTGTTGGTTCATGTTTGTCATACTTGTTTTTCTTTAATTGTTTTGTGATGAATTATGCTGTTACATTGTTCGTCTTCTCATTTAAATTGTTTCATATTTTTCATGTCAGGCCTTTTATAGCCAACTTTATGGTATGGGTTTTTCTCATTGATGAAGAATGTACACTTGCCTATAATTGCTTACATCCACTTTATTTGAACTTTGGTGGATAGTTGACTCATTGGCAATCATACCACATCTCCTTAGTCATATATTGTTGAAGAAGTACTTACTTGAAAAGTTACTGGCAAAGTTGTCATCATAAAATTGTGTCTATTCCCAACACTTCTAGCCTCCTCAGGGGTTAGACCAGCATACAAATTAACGTTAATCTCACTGTAAAATTTGAAAGTAGTAATAACTTATTTAGTATTAAGATTTAAAGGCTATGTTTAATGAATACAGATGACTGTTTTACTTCTTTAATCTTCTTTTTCTTGCTTCAAGGTTTTTTTATAGCTTCCATGTGATTCATTTTTTAGGAAGATCTTGCAATGACCTCAGACATCTTGTAATTTTTTCTTAATGACTGCCCTAAATTGCCAACAGACTGAATTCAGACAAAATGTCCAGTTTCAGATTTAATATCAATAAATTGCATTGCTGAGTGCAGCTGGATACGATCGCTGAGGTCCAACCATGAACAGTTGGGGCAAAAATGGACACAATATTCGCGAAATCAATCCCAACCTTCCTTTTGTGGTTATAAACCTTGTGTTTAAATTTCATAGATTTGTAATTTATATTTACTAAATTAAGTTATTGTCCGGAAAGCAAATGTCTTTGGACAACACAGACAACAACAACGTGATACCAATATATGACAGCAGTCGTATAAAAATGCATCATTAAAACCATATAAAAAAAAGTATTATGTATCTTCTTAAAACCTTTAATTTTGCAATAAATAACAGCACATACCTTGAAATATTGATCCCTTCATCTTTAAGCTCTTTCATTGCCTGTATTAGGTGATTACCACCTAATAAGAACAGTTTATAGTCCCCTAATTGTGTGTCAGAGTTTTTAAATTCATCTGGAGACTTACACTGCAATATATTTCATGAATAGTTATGAGCATGGTTAGTTAGTCAAATAAGTTTCAAAACTGTAAGTCTTAGAAAAATAAATGAAAGTGTTTTAAAAGATAAAAAAAGTAGAAAGCCTAAATTATCATCTGCCTTGTGACATCAGTTTTAACATGCATCTTTTTTTATAAAGGAAATGTTCATTATTCAAAATATATTTTCAGTCCAGTCACAACAACTGCCTTTCTAGTGCCTAAGAATTACTTATGAGTATCTCAAAGAATTCAATGGTGATTCAAACAAGGGAGAGTTTCACGCCTACAATATCCTTTAGTTTGAAAAACCAAATTGTTAATCTGTTTATCTGTATTTTTATAGGCAAAGTTAATGACGTAGGCTTTTGAAGTCAACAATTCTGTTTCTCCCTGACTCAAAAAGTCCAATATCACTAGAGTATAATGAAACTAAAAAAGAAACCAAAAACAAATCAAATAAAAATTTGAGAGAATAGTGATATCAAATATTATTTTTCTTTTTTTTTGCAAAAATCTTATATCCTTTACAAAACTTTCTTGTTATAGTCCTTATTGGATATCATTGTCTAGTAAATATAACACAAACACCACACGTTTCTTAAACAGTATTTTGTTTAAAGACAATACATTTACTTGTAATGCAAATTCTTTGTTGAAGATTTTTGAATAGATGATGTCATTTAATATTCTTAAATGATAAAATCCAGAAATGTATATGCCTGTAAACCATCCTTTACTGATTTGAATTGATCATTTTGCAGTTTTTAAAAATAATTTGGTTGTTAAAAAGAGCAACAGTTACAATGTACCAAAGGTAATATCAAGTTTCAATGACAAAAGCAGTGGGATATCCAGTGAACGAAAACAAAAGAAAATTCACTCTTCTTATGATAGAGTGAAAAAAAGACAATAATAAAACAATGTCGGTGTCCATACTGATCAAAAGTTATTTCCAAATAATGATGGTGCATTTTGAAGAAATTATTTGTTAAACTGTGTTATTAGAAATATACATGCATTGAAGACCCATTGGTGGCCTTCGGCTGTTGTGTCTGCTCTTTATTGTCTCTTTGACATATTCCCCATTTCCATTCTCAATTTTAAATATACAATTTTTTATGTTCAGTATTTATCGAGATAATTGCTTTAGAAGCTTGAAAAACTGAAATTTAAAAACTGCTAATCTTTGCTGCATATTAATAAAAAAAAAATGAAAAAAATCATGTTCATACACAATCAAAGATCCTTTGAGTCACCAATTTTCTGTGTGTTCCAAAAAGTCATTAGCGTGTTACAATTTCCCAAAGTATGCTTATTTTTTACACCTTAGCTGTCGAGCACACCGGTCTACTTTTGTAACATGTACATTCAATAGGGAACTATTGATTGTCTTTTCATGAATATAAGCATTTCAAAGTCTGTATGTGCAGGTTAAAAACATAAAGATAACTAGTTTTATAAAGTATTATCTTCCTACTATTCTGTATGCAATTTTAAGCAAAGGTCGTCTTGAGTTTTGTAAAGGTATTTGCTGTCTTCTCGATCTATTCACATTCAATGTTAACATCAAGATAAGGTCTGTTTGATTTTGCTTAGTAACTTAATTTAAAAAGTGCCAATCTTTGCTGCATATCAATCGATTCCTTTGAATTTTTTCCCTGATTTTCTATGATCTAGCTGTATATATATATACGAAAAATTAGCACAGTAAAAAAATAAATTGAAGTTGGTACTCCAGGAATTCATTCGCATGGCAACATTTTAAACCAATTCTACACCAAGCTTCTATAGCCTGCTGTACTTTTTATTTTCTACTTAAGGAGGAAAATGAAAACATTGAGTGGAAGTTTTGTTTTTATTCAAATTTATTTCTATTTTACTATTTACCAGAATGTTTTTCGGTGAATCCATAATTGATAGCGTCCTTGTTAAGATGGGACAAATATTGAGAAGATTTAGTTTTGAATATTTACAGGGGAGGTAATATTTTGTCACTAGATTTCCCACTGAAAAGATAACCTGTTTGTTGATATCTTCCTTTGAGAATGTCTATTTTGTCTAATTTGTCACTTATAAAAAATTGATACTTCTGTGATTTAAAATACAAGCAAATAACTATATATTCAAATTACCTTAGTTGGGTCCATGAGAACAGGCAGGGTCAAACCTGATGGTGGAGATCTGCTTTGTCGAAGCCTCTTCTTTAGTGCTATGACCCACTCCTGACGAATGGTCCTGCATTCATATTGTTGTGGTGCCTGCTCCATATCATCAAGGTTCATTACATATTCTCCTGGATTATGAATATATAAAATTTAAATCAGAAGAGTTGTAATGACCAACTAATTTGCAGTAGTATATTCAAAATTCTACTTTCAACAGGGCATAACATTTAGAACAAAAATAAATCATAATTTCCTGTCAATATGCACATGATGATATAAAATATAAATAATTTATGATATTTTATTATTTATCATCCACTGTCAATCATATCCAATTTTTAAAGGGAAATAACTATAAAATTTTACAAGATTTACAATAATATATTTCATGGTATCTGTGAGGTGTTTGTATTATTGCTTGTTGACAAAAGCTCAATCCTACCTTACATTTATGTCCCATGACCAAAATATTTTCTTTAGACATAACAAATTCTGTCCAAGTTATAGTGCCTAGAAATCCTATCATGCTCAAGTCAATAACAAACAACACCATTAACTCTTAGATAAGAAATTTAAGTATAGCTTCATTAAGGTATATGTGGATTCCTATACTAAAAAGAAGGCATTCTGAAATTAAAGAAACGACTAACTTACCAACTAACTTCTCATTTTCTTGAGGTTCTATAGCTTTCTCTTGTGGCACTTCAAAAACCTCTGGCATCTGTTTGCGAACTTTACTCTGTCCCCCCTTTTTTGCTGCTTTAGATTCAATCTTATATTTTTTCACATCTTTCATTTGACCAGTGAATTGATTTTTTAACAATTTTACCCCCTTTTTCATTCCATCAAAATAAATCTGAAAAGCAGAAACAAACGGTATTTAGAAAGTTGAAATATAAGATCATCAAATTATTTTTAAACTTTTTTTTTACTATCTTATCTTTCTTACTTTTAGTGATACATGTAATACTAAATAAAATACTTGATGTTAACATAAAAAGTTGATACAATTTGCTAAATATGACAGACAGAATGTACTTGGTTGTTTTAAATGACATTATATGTTATTCAGGTCACATAGTGACGGGTGTTATGACGACGTTTTTGAGATAAAAATGTCAAATATACCCCAGCAGTTTCCTGCCTATATGCTGACATCTCTGTGTTATTATCCAATCACAAAACTCAACACATTTGTAACATGTAATATTGGGTAATATTTGGCCTGGTCTTTAGTTTTGTTCATGTATTAAAATTATACAAGGGAAATAAAAAAATTAGTATGCATTCTATAACGTTAATGTTTGTTTAATGCGTTGAAACTGCAAGTCAAAATTTAGCTAATCAAGTCAATACTTTTGACATGTAATCATGGATATTTATTGAAATTTGTCGTTTTTTTGTTCAGAAAAACATTTTTTTTTAAAGAAAACTTTCTGAATATTATATTATTTTACAGATACTGTACAAAGGAAAGTAACCATAAATTTTCCATAGATATAAAGATTTGGTTTTGAAGTTTGGTTGTACCTGTAGAAAACTTATTTTTCTCTGACTGTTTATGACATCTTTACACTAAATCCATTGGATGTTGGATGTGTACAGATTGATAATTTAGTCTTAGATGCATGATTTTTTTATTAGTTGTTAGTGGCTTTGAACTAGCTGTCAGTAACTGCGAGTACTCTCAGATCTGTACCTAATGTCTTTTTGTTGTTGGGATGTACAAGTACCGGCCACGTCCACGTCCACTTGTGTTTGTAGTATTTGTATTTTTATCCATCTTATGAGTTAAGCCTTTTTCATCTGATTTTTACAGTTCGTTCTTATGTTGTACTGTTATACCACTGTCCCAGGTTAGAGGAGGGTTGGGATCCCACTAACATGTTTAACCCCACCATATTCTGTTTGTATGTGCCTGTCCCAAGTCAGGAGCCTGTAATTTAGTGGTTGTTGTTTGTTTATGTGTTACATATTTGTTTTTCCTTCATTTTTAACTGGATTTTCGAAGGAAATATCGGTTATTAAAATGGGGATGTACGGCGGGCGACTGGGCAGGCGGACGGGCAGCTGCCAAACAGTGTCTCCACAATAACATGAAAACGCTTTAACAAATAATTTTTTTCAAATTTAAATATGTTGTTTCCTGGGACTTAATGCAGGTCTAGTTAATTTTTCAAGATTTTAGTATTTCTCCTTTTTGAGTTATCGCCATTTTTAATATCCAAAAGTGGAATTTTTAAATATTTATCTCTTGTTATCATGTTATGAATTGTCTTATCTCACAATAAAAATTGGAGTGACAGATTTATTTGAAAATTTTCTATTTCCTAAGTGGTGATGATTATAAGCTATATTATTAGACATTTTGAAGTTAATTACATTATTAATTATTAATTAGATTTGGGTTATATCTTAGCATATGATAATCATTGGAGTGACAGATTTATTTGAAAATTTTCTGTTCTGATAAGATCTGTAGGACTGTATATATAAAGTTTGAAATTTACTAGTAGGACTGTATAAATGATGTTTGAAATTTACTGTTCATTATTAGACATTTTGTAGATAATTAAGTCTCCCTAAACCATATATATTCTTACCCCCACCCTCCTTCAATTTGAGAATGTGCTTTTATCTTGTAAACGGTTGAGATCCCCACCCCTAAACCATATATATTCTTTTATGGGACTATAAAACAATCAAATGAAATATTGGGGGAGTTCACCCCCACCCCCTTCTTTTTGAAAACTTGTAAACTGTCAAGATCCCCACCCTGAAACCATATATATTCTTGTATGGGACAATAAAACAAATCAAATGAAATATAAGGCGAGTCCCCTGGGGTCACCCCCCACCCGTCTCCTGTTTGATAACTTGTAAACGGTCGAGATCCCCGCCCCTAAACCATATATATTCTTGTATGGGACAATAACACAAAAAAAATGAAATATAGGGGAAGTCCAGGGGGGTCACCCTCAACCCCCTTCTTTTTGAAAACTTGTAAATGGTCAAGATCCCCACCCGGAAACCATATATATTCTTGTATGGGACAATAAACAAATCAAATGAAATAAAAGGCGAGTCCCCTGGGGTCACCCCCACCCCCTCCTGTTTGAGAACATGTAAATGGTCGAGATCCCCACCCCTAAACCATTTATATTCTTGTATGGGACAATAAAACAAATCAAATGAAATATAGGGGAAGTCCATTGGGGTAACCCCACCCCCCTTCTTTTTGATAACTTGTAAATGGTCAAGATCCCCACCCGGAAACCATATATATTCTTGTATGGGACAATAAAACAAATCAAATGAAATATAGGGCGAGTCCCCTAGGGTCACCCTCACCCCCCTCCTGTTTAAGAACTTGGAAACAGTTGGGCTTTTCATTATTAATAAGATAATACCACATTGAGGTCCAAAGGGTCCTAAATTAAACTTTTGTTTAATTTCATAAAAAATTGAATTCTTTGGTTCTTTGATATGCTGATTCTAACAATGTTTGAGTGTTAAATCATATTTAATTTTAGAGAACTTAGTCATCACTGGTTGTTGCATCATATCTTATATTAGAGAACTATTTATCCAGTTTGAGTTATTTCCTTTTACACAGAAAATATTATGGAAAAATTAACCTGTGTTTCATTTCAACATAAATTAAATATATATAGGGTTCTTTCAAATGCTGAATCAAAACCTGTATTCAAATATTAGATTTTTGGGCCCAGTTTTCAAGTTGGTCCAAATCAGGGCCCAAAATTAAACTTTGTTTGATTCAACAAAAATTGAATTTATGGGGTTCTTTGAAATGCTGAATCTAATCATGTATTGAGAGATTTTGGATTGTGGGCTCCTTTATGAATTTGGTCCACATTGAGGTCCAAAGGGTCCTAAATTAAACTTTTGTCTGATTTCATCAAAAATTGAATTCTTGGGGTTCTTCGATATGCTGATTCTAATATGTACTTAGATTTTGGATATTGGACCATAATAGGTATTTAAATGTCCAATTTCAAATATTTCAGTTCTTGAACCACATATTCATTTTGTGTCACAAACCTATGCGGTGTCAAATATTCAATCACAATCCAAATTCAGAGCTGTTTTAAGCTTAAATGTAGTGTCCATACTTGCTCAACTGTTCAGGGTTCGACCTCCGCAGAAAAATCCGGTTTGCTGTCACTCTGACAGCCTCTTGTTTGTACATAAATTAGGCCGTTAGTTTTCTCGTATGAATTGTTTTACATTGTCATTTCAGGGCCTTTTATAGCAGACTATGTGGTATGGGCTTTGCTCATTGTTGAAGGCCGTAAGGTGACCTATAGTTGTTTATTTCTGTGTCATTTTATCTCTTGTGGAGAGTTGTCTCATTGGCAATCATACCACATCTTCTTTTTTTATACTTATAATATTAGATTATCATCTCCCCCATCAATATCATCTTACTCTTTGAAAGTGCCTCTATTGACTGTCTGTACATTATCTTAATCAGTTATATTTGATTTATTATCATTTTGTCTTAATACACCATTCTTTGATATTTAAAACCTGCAACAATGATTGGTTTATAAAGATTGCTGTATTACTCCCAACCCCCTGGTCTCCCATATGCTCAAACCTATAAATTTGCAGTTATTTAGATTAAAACATATGGTGATTTCACCAGACACCACTTCATTCCCCTCCAAAAATTCAATTAAACAAAAAATAGCACACGGAAATCTTTTGTTAAGTCAGGCATACAGTTGCAAGTATTTACGGGTACCATGCATGTTAGTCCAAATAATTATGATGACTTGCAAGGCTATTTTATTAGAAAGCGTCACAGAAAAATAAATAAATAACCTTGCAAGACGTCATAATTATTCAGACTACATGCATGTAGAATCGGGTGCTCATTTTTGCCATAATTTTCCATGTTTTCTGCAGTTTATGTTCAGGTCTTTATGTTTTTGAAGTATACTGATATTTTTATATGAAAATAATGTCAAAAGCAAAATATTCTTAGCTTGAAATCATGTTTCTTTGAAAAAATTCACCTGAAAAGTTAGATTAAAGGCTATTTGAAATTTCCTGATGTTTTGTCAAAGGGGGACACATATTCACCGTTTTTAAACATCTATTTAAACCAAATATCTGCAGCTTTAAACAACATTTATCAAATCAATCTCATTGAGGTGGGGTAGGACCTTTATCAGGACTCCGGGATCAGGTGTTTTTAAGCTCGGGATTTATGGATTGATCCTTTCGGGATCCGGGAATTCTTTTTTTGAAATGATGTCAGGATTTAAATTTTTTTTAAATTCAGGACCTCGGGATTCCATGTTTTTAAGCCCGGGATTTCGGGATCAGGACCCCTCCTACCCCCCCCCCCCCTCATTAAAGATGAATATCAGACATTTCAAAGGTGTAAAGAAGTGAAATTTAGGGCAATCAGTCAAAGAATTACTAAGAAATACTTCTTTGAAATCGTGTTTTTCATTCAGGAAATTGGCCGAAAATCGTTGTCCGTTTTTCGGTCCTTTGCGGTAAGTTCCGAAATTTTGTCTAAGTTTAAAAATAATTATATTTGTTATAAAAATATAATTTACCGGCATATTTCTTCCATTTCAGCCATCCTTTGAAGTGTTTACACCTCAAAATCATAAAACGGCGAAATTGTGTCCCCGGCAAATATATATATATATATATGCGCCCCGCTCTATCATTATTGTCATTAAATATTAACGCGGATGCTCAGTTGAGGGTTGCATATTCTACGCGTACGTAGAAAAGGTGTAGTTTATGGTTGTTTCCCTTAAAATCAAAAATTAAGTCTAGACTCGCTAAGAATCGATTACGATTAATTTTTATCAAGATGTGGTATTTCTCAAAAAATATTTAAATTTAGAATAGTTTTAGGGGAAAACCCTGGGTTATACTA